ATGACACTGATCAAACGTCATCAGTTTTATACAGTTTTATCAGTGTCATAAGTCATCAGTTTTATACATCAGTGTTTAAGTTTTATAAGTGTCTTAACAGTTTTGTACAGTTTTATCAGTGTCTTAAGTCATCAGTTTTATACAGTTTTATCAGTGTTTTAAGTCATCAGTTTTATACAGTTTTTGTTAAGACACTTATTTTATCAGTGTCTTAACAGTTTTATACAGTTTTATGTCATAAGTCATCAGTTTTATACAGTTTTATCAGTGTTTTAAGTCATCAGTTTTATACAGTTTTATCAGTGTTTTAAGTCATCAGTTTTGTACAGTTTTATCAGTGTAATAAGTCATCAGTTTTGTACAGTTTTATCAGTGTAATAAGTCATCAGTTTTGTAAAATTTTATCAGTGTCTTAACAGTTTTATACAGTTTTATAAGTGTCTTAAAAGTTTTATACAGTTTTATCAGTGTCTTAACAGGTCATCAGTTTTATACAGTTTTATCAGTTAAGACACTGATAAAACTGTATAAAACTGATGACTTATGACACTCAGTTTTATACAGTTTGATCTACAGTTTTATCAGTGTCTTAAGTCATCAGTTTTATACAGTTTGATCAGTGTCATAAGTCATCAGTTTTATACAGTTTGATCAGTGTTTTAAGTCATCAGTTTTATACAGTTTGATCAATGTCATAAGTCATAAGTGTCTTAACAGTTTTATACAGTTTTATAAGTGTCTTAACAGTTTATACAGTTTATCAGTGTCTTAAGTCATCAGTTTTATACAGTTTTATCAGTGTCTTAACAGTTTATACAGTTTATAAGTGTCTTAACAGTTTATAAGTGTCTTAACAGTTTTATAAGTGTCTTAACAGTTTTATACAGTTTTATCAGTGTCTTAACAGTTTTATAAGTGTCTTAACAGTTTTGTGTAGAATATGTAATGATGTTGCTATATTTCTGCATGTTAAAGTTTACTAAAACATTTTTTTTAGGATAAAGCTACAAAATGGGCTATATGCGCTCTCTCTCCACAGCGAGGAGTCGAACTCCGAACTTTTCGATAATCATAAGATGTGTGCTATTTTAATACAAGTTCAACAGAGAACAGTAAATTTTTATGTTACAACTTGAATACACTTGACATTTACCTTTAAACTCTTATTCATTTATTGCTTTAGATATTTTCATGAAAACACGTTAAGTGTATATTCAGTAGAAACGTATAGATAAAACCCCAGACAAAGGAAACTAATGATTCGATCATAACGTTGATGAACCTCACTACAAAAGTAAACACAAACATCAAATAAATCTGAAGAGTAGGTCGTTCCAAGTGTAATACACCTGGCACAGGCAGATTACTCGCTTTCAAGGAGCGACATATACCTTGATTTCTTGTTTTCCTTCTGCTTCTATTTCAACGCCAACGTAATACGGCTGCAACCCAAGATTGGTGACAGGTTTGGTGGAGACATAATTGACTTATAATATGATCAACTGTGGGGTGTATTTGACAGAGGAGCTTAACGCACGTGTTATAAGCTGACCTGTTCCCGTCTTTCAAATCAGTCAGTTGCATGCCTTTAAGCTGTGCATTTAACACCCATTCCTTGAGATAACGTTGTTGTTTTTAACCAGAGTTTACGCAATCAAAAACTCGCGCCTGACATTACAAGTTCAGTTTTGTGTTATTATTTTTTTTTTTTAAGATTGAAGATTAGTTTCAAGATTTACACAAGATTATCTAACAAAAACGTAAAACCGTCGAGTTAGTAGTGGTAATGAGTAAGATGGTAAACCTTCAGCTGTTGCCTTGGAAATGGGAGGAAGCAGACTTGCAATAAAAATGTCACACTTTAGAGGATTTTAAATTACACCTTTGTTTTAACACCTTTGTTGTATGAAGTTATCCTCAAAAGCTTTTCCTGGTTTCCAGTTGTTTAGTTATAGATAACTTATTATCCTCATCAACTTAATATACAATCCGTCCGGAATATCTGGAAAACTGGGTTAAAACAACCAGTTTTTTCGGTTATATTCATTAAGGTTTCTGCCCCCCCCCCCCAGTGGCACAGCGGCATGTTTGTGGACTTACACCGCTAGAAAATGGGTTTCGATACCCGTGGTGGGTAGAGCACAGATAGCTCATTATGTAGCTTTGTGCTTACCTTTAAAACAACAATAAATAAAGTCTGTATTCTAACCGGAATTCAACGATAAACCACTTTAAAGTAGTTTCAACGACTTTCCGTGTTAGAAATAAGAAATGGTTGAGTTTTTTAATGACGTTAAAACTTTCTTAGTGAACCTAATCATGAACGATACTCTTATTTCACCAGTTCCTTTAATGCGCATGCTCTCCACTCTACCGACTTCACCATTTTGATGGAGACCATCTTAAAAAACAGTTTGGGTATACAATACAATCGGAAGATACCTCAGCTTCGTAACAGTAAGCAGTTTCTCTCTATCTTCTTAAAAGTAAAGATGTTTTTTGTTGTTTATTATCGTAATCTCGAATAAGCGAAAATTATAATTTAAAATAAAAACTTAAATTTTCCCCTTTGTTGCAGTGTTTAGTTAGACTAAGGTAAGAAAACAGAAAACTTGCGATATTTTATTATCACCATTTGAAAAGTAAAACAAAACAGTCTTGTTTTAGATTTGAGTTTACGTAATGACTGACACTAAAAAAGAGATTTCTTCGATCACGTAAACTTGCTATTTCAAGAACACTAGCGACGTAGCGTTTGACTCACGACACGCCTATGTTAATACATTGTATTCAAAGAAGTCCCTTTCGTTGTTAAGGTAACATAAATTGTTTTTTTAAACATATGAATAGAAGATGTGAACTCTTTTCCTATACGTTTTTAGAACGCTAACCTTGAATGTAGGGGCTTGATGAGAGAGTAAACACTGTACTGATAACGTCCCTAAAAAAACTACCTTCTGTCTTAGTTAATGTAGTTAAAAAAGTCAAGCGATCAGCTAAGATTTTTTTTCCAGTGAAATACACTTTTATTTTTTGTACAAGTTGAGGCAACATTAATTTCTTAAAACTATTTTTTTTTTCAAACAACCAACAAATATAACTTTCAGATAAACCATTTTCCACACGTTTTGAATTTTTAAAGAGCGAGAGGCTTATCTGTAACAGCGTATTATTTTCGTGTATTAACAGTATTTGTGTTTCATACATTTTTAATGTGATGAAATTAGAAGGAAGTTATTGTTTTGTTAAATATTTCACTTATTCACTCAGAAATATATATATATATATATATTGCTCTGTTCTATTAAAAACCTAAAACACATTCACACTGCACCATCAAAATACCAACTTTTTAAATAAAATCTCTCATTACAATTTATTTAAAATAAATGTTACGTCTCCGTTTGTTAATTAACTTTCCGTAACTTCGTTCCGACGAAACTTTAGCGACACAAGTCCTTACTTAATAAAACTGGGTTATTCTTCCTGAATATAACTTCACGATACACTTGATTTCAACAATCACGCTAAAACAAACGCTATAACGAACGTTAACTTCAACAATACTTTCTCAATGCAGATCAATTACTCACTACCTACACACACATTATTCCGTCACGTTGTCACCCTCTTATATATATACCACACTACCCTACATCTAATAATCTCCCGACAATTCCCGAAGGTTCGAGAGAACGAGTCACGTGACCTCGCTGACGCAACATAAATGAACAAATGATAGCTAACGATGTTGCAGGATAGCTTGCTTAAAAATCAAGATAAATTTTAATTCAGTTTTTTTTTTGTAATAACAAGAACCTAGAATTACAGCCGAACCTTTGTATATGATGATAAGATAACAAAATATTGTACTCGTGTTTAAAGTTTATCAATATATTTACAAATTACTAATCTTTGTGTATTATTTTCCTTAAAGAAACTGTTTTAGTAAAAACACAACTATTTGTGGAAGACGTGAATTCTTTTAACGCCCTAGACATGGTAAGTTTTGTTGATAGCACAACTACTGTTATAAATCGTATTTTATGGTCGTTCTTTCTTATTAGTGGCAGAATACTAAACGTTTTAACTCTTTGTGTAACGTTTTAAATTTGTTCTCATTGAATGTGGCGAAATAGTAACACATAATTTCCTGTTTACTTTTATTCCATTCTGTTTGAGTTTAGTGTAAAAAGACTCGCTGAATATAAAGTTTTACTCTACCTTCTGTGAATAATGTACTTATATTTGGAGACTTGTTTTTGTTAAATACGTGTTGGTTTACATGACGTAATGCTGTTTGTTTCGGGCTTATTTTATACACAGTACACGTGTTGTTTTACGTGACGTATTGCCGTTTGTTTCGGGCCTATTTTATACACAGTTTGTTTTAAAACATTGATTTATTTCAACACTATTTTTGTATAATGTTCTACCACATGTAAAACATCTTTAGCTAAATACACAAGTTGAAAATAAAATAAATTACTTGCATAAAATCAATTTAATTTTCAAATTTCCTTCACACACGTGACGAGTACACACCAGTAACGACCGTAACTATTAGGTTATTTTTGGAGGCGAGTTTTTTTTTTCCAGATACATTTATACAGAGGGCAGTATTATGATGTCAAAAGTATTTATTTTAATGCTATTTGTAGGATTTTCGATTAGACTTTTTCTTGTGGCATCAATGGAACGTAACTGGTAAATTTTGTTTAACGTACGAGAACAACTTAAAGACGTTAGGAATGGCAGAAAACTGGAACAACAGTTCCGGAAAAGAAACCATTACTCAAGATCACTTCGGCCTCTTCTGGATTCCAGATACTTATATAACTAACGCGAAAAGCGTCGAAACTCCGTCCAAGGTCACGTCCACCGAGGCTTTGACCATAACGAAAATGGTTGATACTTGTGTAATGGAATATACAGCAAGGTCAGTGTTCTGCGTCTTATCAGTTTTATCGATGTCATAATTCTTATTAGATTCATACAGTCTGGTCAGTGTAATAAGTCATAAGTTTTATCAGTGTCTTAACAGTTTTATACAGTTTTATCAGTGTCTTAACAGTTTTATACAGTTTTATCAGTGTCATAAGTCATCAGTTTTATACAGTTTTATCAGTGTCTTAAGTCATCAGTTTTATAAGTGTCTTAACAGTTTTATACAATTTTATCAGTGTCTTAACAGTTTTATACAGTTTTATCAGTGTCTTAAGTCATCAGTTTTATACAATTTTATCAGTGTCTTAACAGTTTTATACAGTTTTATTTGTTGTTGTTGAAGGTTGAAAGTGACTACATCTAACT